CTGAAGAAGGGTCCAGACCCAAAACGTCAGCCTTCCTGCTCCTCTGATGCTGCTTGGCCTGCTGTGTTCATCCAGCTCTACACCTTGTTATCTCTATAACATAAAAAGAGGAATTGGTATAACTATAACTCTATCAAAATACTTAACAAACTAATATTATTGAACGACAACTCATCATCTGTTTCAATATAGCAGCATCCCATAAACACACCCCTGGCAAAGGCAAATTCAGCAAAACAGATTTCCTTCACTTTCTATCACCTTCAGTCAAGAAGGAACATTGACAGAATGAATCAAACGGCAAAGAGAGAACTCAAGTTTTTTTTTGCAGCAGAGAGATAGCTGTATCTAGCAGCTTCAACTCCCAAACCCCCACTTCAAAAACTGTAAGCAAAACTAAAAAACCCCCTGTGTGAGCCTGACTCCACCCACTCATGCTTGTTTTGTCGAATTTTAAAAAAGCCCAAAGCTATTTGCACTGCTTACCATGGAGTAGACACGTTTGCACTGAATTTACAATACCCCTCTTCAAGAAAAACAGGACAAACAGACCCCTCTTAGAGGCAAATATCATTACACAAGCCTTAGAGAGAAAAATAAATTGCCTCTTCCCTGAGTTAGAAGGCTCCTAATTCTTTTACCTATGTCCCCCAGTTCTGGATTCTCCCACAAGGGGAAATATCCCTCAACATTGTCTCTGTCAAGTCCACTCAGGATCTTACATCCCTCGGTCTTCAAGTTCGAATGGGTGTGGGCCCAACCTGCTCAACCTTTCCTCAAACCTTTCTAGTTCAGCTCAACACTCTCCATCTCAGCTATTGGGTGTAACCTCCTTAGAAAGGCTTTTCCAAGAGACTGTCAAAGTAGAGTGGCCTTTCATAATCGGGACAAGTAGAAGGTTCGTAGGCTTCTTGAGTGGGGAAAATGTGTATCAGATTCTGGAGATGACATATGTAAAATGCAGCAAGGGAACAGTTAGAATTTTATATTATACATTGAGCAAACAATAAAAAAAAATGAGAGCACATCAACCACTAAAATATCCACAGAGGCAATGACTTTTGGAAAGGAAATGCCCACTATCAGGAACTAAATATTTCATAAACTAAAATACAGAGTTTACTATTTATTTTGCATGAGCAAATTAGGTTGCACTGAGTTTTGAAGTCTTGTTTAATTATTTATTGCAGTTTTGTTGTATTTGCAGAACCAATGCAGATTTTACAGCACATTCAATAACTACATTTCTAAAGTACTTTCTCAGCTGTAAAATGCTTTGGGACAGACGAGATTGTATATGCCTCTTTATAAATGCAGTTCATTCTTTCTTCTGCCACACATAGACACTTTCATGAAGTTTACACTCATCTGCTTTTAAGTAAAACCCAATGTTGGCCCAATTTGAAAGAAGTGTTTTTATGACACCATATTGTTGTAGACTTGAGGTCAATCCCAGCTTTATGTACTTATGATGTACCCTTTCTGTCCCCACAGAACGCCAGATGTTCAGTTGAGGAATGTGCAAAACACTGTTGATATCAGGGAGAGCTAACATGAAGGAGTAGAGAGGAAGAGAAACAGGGTGGTAATGGTGATATCAAGGATGCAGCAGCGGGGCAAAATGGGCAGCAGGAGTCACAGAAAAAGTGTTTGTGGTCAAGTAATCTGAAGCACAAAGGGACTGGGAGCCCTAATTCAGATTTGCTTAAGGTTAACATGCGGGTTCAGTTGGCAGTTAGCATGGCAAATGCAATATTAGCATTCATTTCGAGAGGGCTAGACTATAAAAACAGAGATGTGTTGTTGAAGCTGCAAAAGCTCTGGTCAGACCACATTTGGAATATTGTGAGCAGTCACTAAGGAAGGATGTGCTGGTATTGGAGAGGGTCCAGAGGACGTTTATAAGAATGATCCTGGGGATGAAGGCTTGTCAAATGAGGAGTTGTTGAAGACTCTGGGTCTGTACATGATGGAATTTAGAAGGATGCGGGGAATCTGATTGAAACTTACAGAATATTGAGAGGCCTGAAGAGAGTGTACACGCAAAAGATGTTTCCGCTAGTCAGAGAGTCTAGGACCTGACAGTACAGCCTCCGAAAGAAGGGGCGACCTTTTAGAACTGAGATGTGGAGGAATTTCTTCAGCCAGAGGGTGGTTAATCAGTGAAACTCATTGCTACAGAGGGCTGTGGGGGCCAAATCATTGAGTGCAGTTAAGACAGAGAAAAATAGGTTCTTGATTAGTAAGGGGATCAAAGGTTACAGGGGAGAAGGCAGGAGAATGGGTTGAGAAACATATCAGCCATGATCGAATGGTGGAGCAGACTTGATTGATCATATGGCCTAATTCTACTCCTGTGTCTTATGGTTTTATTGTATTGAAATAGAGTGAACAATACAATGTGATAGGGCAAACTGCAACTGGAGACAAGGTATAACAAAGCAAAATGCAATACCCTCACCTTGGAGTTACAAACAGGAAGTGAGTGAGTCAAATCAAAATAAAATCCATTGTTGAACAATGACATTTTTTTTCAATGCTAGAATAAACAAAACTGACTCTTTCCGTGGCTTCAACTGAAATTTCATCAGTTACATGTTGATTCCTATCATTAGAAACCCCAGTAGACCCCAGTATAGGGAACAGACACCAACCATTCAGCCCCTCTAACCTTTCCTGTCATTTAGTGATTCAACGGCTGATTAATGATCTAATTCTGTGCACACTCCCTTTCCCCCATTCCTTCTTACCTTTGGTTCTCAAAAATCTTATCAGCCCTGGATTTAAAATTAACAACTGATTTACATAAATAACACTTGTGGAATTAAGTGAATTCCAAATCTGTTCAAATACTTTTCTGTGTTTTCTAATTTCAGTCCTGAAAGGTCTAAAATTTAGAATGCTTCCCCTCACCCTAGACTGTGCAACCAGCAGAAGCAGTTTCTCTTTACCCATCTTCTCTGATCCTCTTCTTATCTTGAATATCTTTAATGTTCTAATTTCCAGGAAATACAGCCCTACTTTGTTGTCATCTCACTTCATAGCTTTATCCTTGGAAACAGGTATTGTTCTGGTAAACTTGCACCACACTCCAAGGCACATTCCAAAGGTGTGTTGCCAAGAACTAGAGAAGGTATTCGATACTGGGTTTGCCGTGCTCTGAGAGCATTTGCTGCTACACCAGCTGTTTCCTGCCCTCTTGCAACTGACTTGCTGCATCTTGCAATTATTTGCACACTGCTGAAGCCAGGTTCCTATCAGTGTGAAGCTCAAATTAAAACACATGTTTCATTTTCAAATGCTAGGCAGGCTCAAACATGAACACATCTAGTATTCCATTACCCCATTATTCTTAAACTCTTTACTTTTAAATCAATGCTGCACTGAACACCACTGATAAAGCTGAGGATTATGAAGACTAACACGCCAACTTTTTTTTATTTGTTTGTGGGATGTGGGCGTTGCTGGCTGGGCCCAGCATTTATTGTCCGTCCCTAGTTGCCCCTTGAGAAGGTGATGGTGAGCTGCCTTCTTGAACCGCTGCAGTCCACCTGCTGTAGGTTGACCCACAATGCCATTAGGGAAGGAATTTTGATACAGTGACAGTGAAGGAATGGTGATATATTTCCAAGTCGGGACGGTGAGTGGCTTGGAGGGGAACTTGAAGGGTGTGGTGTTCCCATATATCTGCCGCCCTTGTCCTTCTAGATGGAAGTGGTCGTGGATTTGGAAGGTATAGCAGTCATAGGACTTTTTGGATCATGTTGCAGTTTCAAGGACCACTCCAATGCAAGAGCAGGAGTTTGAGTCTGAAACCTCAGGGATTTACTAAGGAAGTGGTGTTGTGGTGAATTGTTCACTGAATGTCTCATCTAGTGGAAGCCAAAGATTCCAAAGCAGCCGTGTAAGGAAAGCAGGTGTCGGGAGAATTCTGCTGGTGCCCTGCTTGACAATCAACCTTCAAACAGTACAGC